TGTAGTTCTGTATGATGTCTGACTGTAAAACTGTATGATGTCTGACTGTAATACTGTATGATATCTGTATTACTGTATGACGTCTGACTGTATTACTGTATGATGTCTGACTGTAATACTGTATGATATCTGTATTACTGTATGACGTCTGACTGTAGTACTGTATGATGTCTGACTGTAATACTGCATGATGTCTGACTGTAGTACTGTATGATGTCTGACTGTAATACTGTATGATATCTGTATTACTGTATGACGTCTGACTGTAGTACTGTATGATGTCTGACTGTAATACTGCATGATGTCTGACTGTAGTACTGTATGATGTCTGACTGTAATACTGCATGATGTCTGACTGTAGTACTGTATGATGTCTGACTGTAATACTGTATGACGTCTGACTGTAGTACTGTGTGATGTCTGACTGTAGTACTGTGTGATGTCTGATTGTAGTACTGTATGATGTCTGACTGTAGTTCTGTATGATGTCTGACTGTATTACTGTATGATGTCTGACTGTAATACTGTATGATATCTGTATTACTGTATGACGTCTGACTGTAGTACTGTATGATGTCTGTAGTACTGCATGATGTCTGACTGTAGTACTGTATGATGTCTGTATTACTGTATGACGTCTGACTGTAGTACTGTATGATGTCTGTAGTACTGCATGACGTCTGACTGTAGTACTGTATATGATGTCTGTAGTACTGTATGACGTCTGACTGTAGTACTGTATGATGTCTGTAGTACTGTATGACGTCTGACTGTAGTACTGTATGATGTCTGTAGTACTGTATGACGTCTGACTGTAGTACTGTATGATGTCTGTAGTACTGTATGATGTCTGACTGTAGTACTGTATGATGTCTGACTGTATTACTGTATGATGTCTGACTGTAATACTGTATGATATCTGTATTACTGTATGACGTCTGACTGTAGTACTGTATGATGTCTGTAGTACTGCATGATGTCTGACTGTAGTACTGTATGATGTCTGTATTACTGTATGACGTCTGACTGTAGTACTGTATGATGTCTGTAGTACTGTATGATATCTGTATTACTGTATGATGTCTGACTGTATTACTGTATGATGTCTGACTGTAATACTGTATGATATCTGTATTACTGTATGACGTCTGACTGTAGTACTGTATGATGTCTGTAGTACTGCATGATGTCTGACTGTAGTACTGTATGATGTCTGACTGTAATACTGTATGACGTCTGACTGTAGTACTGTGTGATGTCTGACTGTAGTACTGTGTGATGTCTGACTGTAGTACTGTATGATGTCTGACTGTAGTTCTGTATGATGTCTGACTGTATTACTGTATGATGTCTGACTGTAATACTGTATGATATCTGTATTACTGTATGACGTCTGACTGTAGTACTGTATGATGTCTGTAGTACTGCATGATGTCTGACTGTAGTACTGTATGATGTCTGTATTACTGTATGACGTCTGACTGTAGTACTGTATGATGTCTGTAGTACTGCATGACGTCTGACTGTAGTACTGTATGATGTCTGTAGTACTGTATGACGTCTGACTGTAGTACTGTATGATGTCTGTAGTACTGTATGACGTCTGACTGTAGTACTGTATGATGTCTGTAGTACTGTATGACGTCTGACTGTAGTACTGTATGATGTCTGTAGTACTGTATGATGTCTGACTGTAGTACTGTATGATGTCTGACTGTATTACTGTATGATGTCTGACTGTAATACTGTATGATATCTGTATTACTGTATGACGTCTGACTGTAGTACTGTATGATGTCTGTAGTACTGCATGATGTCTGACTGTAGTACTGTATGATGTCTGTATTACTGTATGACGTCTGACTGTAGTACTGTATGATGTCTGTAGTACTGTATGATATCTGTATTACTGTATGATGTCTGACTGTATTACTGTATGATGTCTGACTGTAATACTGTATGATGTCTGACTGTAATACTGTATGATGTCTGACTGTAGTACTGTATGATGTCTGACTGTAGTACTGTATGATGTCTGACTGTAATACTGTATGATGTCTGACTGTAATACTGTATGATGTCTGACTGTAGTTCTGTATGATGTCTGACTGTATTACTGTATGATGTCTGACTGTAGTACTGTATGATGTCTGACTGTAATACTGTATGATATCTGTATTACTGTATGACGTCTGACTGTAGTACTGTATGATGTCTGTAGTACTGCATGATGTCTGACTGTAGTACTGTATGATGTCTGTATTACTGTATGACGTCTGACTGTAGTACTGTATGATGTCTGTAGTACTGTATGATATCTGTATTACTGTATGATGTCTGACTGTATTACTGTATGATGTCTGACTGTAATACTGTATGATATCTGTATTACTGTATGACGTCTGACTGTAGTACTGTATGATGTCTGTAGTACTGCATGATGTCTGACTGTAGTACTGTATGATGTCTGTATTACTGTATGACGTCTGACTGTAGTACTGTATGATGTCTGTAGTACTGCATGACGTCTGACTGTAGTACTGTATGATGTCTGTAGTACTGTATGACGTCTGACTGTAGTACTGTATGATGTCTGTAGTACTGTATGACGTCTGACTGTAGTACTGTATGATGTCTGACTGTAGTACTGTATGATGTCTGACCGTAGTACCGCGCGATGCGGGAACGCAGTACATCTGATTTTGAGACAACATGTAGTATTATTTTTGATTTGATTTGTTAGTTGTTTTACGCCGCACTCAGAAATATTCCAGCTATATTGCGGCCGTATGTAAATAATCAAGTCTGGACCAGACGATCCAGTGATCAACAGCATGAGCATCAATCTATGCAATTGAGATACGATGACATGTGTCAACCAAGTCAGCGAGCCTGACCACCCGATCCCGTTAGTCGCCTCTTACGACAAGCATGGGTTATTGAAGACCAATTATAACCCGGATCTTCTGTAATAATGTAAGATAATGTATAATAATGTAACTTAAGTGGCATTACTGCGTACATGTAAGAATTGTTAGTCCGCAGTGTGGGGACAATTAAGGACTGTCAGTCGTTGGCTGTGTTTGGGGTCAGTCAAACCAAGGCTTATCCGGAGATCGTGCTGCACGTATACAATAACTAATCACTCTGTAATACTATAGCTATCTATATCCCTAATTAAAACATCCCATCCATTTCTATTTCCCTATTCCAACACTATATACATCTGGTTTCCTATACAGTAAGTTCAACACTGTTAATCTTTATTCCCCTATTCCAACACTATACCCATCTATATTTCCCTAACCCCACACCTTTCTGACTGTATTCGTCTATTCCAACACTATATCCACCTGTATTCTCCTATCCATCTGACCGCCTCCGTGGTGTAGTGGTTAGAACGTCCGCCCGGAGAGCGGAAGGTCGCGGGTTCGATCCCCGACAGCGTCATACCAAAAAGACGTTAAAATATGGTACTTGTTGGTCCCTGCCTGGCGCTCGGCATTAATGGTACAACAAGGACTGGTCGGCTCGGAGTCAGTATACTGTGTCTTAGTGGGGTATTCATGCTTCACTGCGGCATGGTATCTCAGTGGGCTAGCACTATAAAACCAGCTTCAGTCTGGGCTAGTACAAGCAGCCGCACATACACATACACACGCATGCACGTCGTCATATGAGCGAAATATTCTCAAGCACGACGTAAAAAACAATTTCACCTCACCTCACCTCCTATCCATCCCATTTCTGGTGTTCCCCGCCGTGATATTGCTGGAATATTGCTTAAAGCGGCGTAAAACCAAACTCACTCACTCACTCACTCCTATCCACTTGAATATTATTACCCAACCCAGTATCCATACGCATTCCCCTATTCCAGCACTATATCTGTACTTCTCCTTTTAGCATTTCTTTTATCTATATCTGCATTCCCCTATTCCGACACCATACAGTAACTTGTCTATCCGTGACACTATATATATATATATGTCTGTACGATAATCAAACCCTAACGACTTCTATCCCTGTGTTCCAACAGTATATAAATCTGTTTTTCTATATAGTAAGTTCAAAACTATCAATCTGTATTGCTCTATTCCAAAACGTATCCATATGTATTCCCCTATTCCAATACGATGTCAAAATGTGTCTGTATTCCCCTATTCCAATACTATGTCAAAATGTGTCTGTATTCCCCTATTCCAATACTATGTCAAAATGTGTCTGTATTCCCCTATTCCAATACTATGTTAAAATGTGTCTGTATTCCCCTATTCCAATACTATGTCAAAATGTGACTGTATTCCCCTATTCCAGCATCATACCCTGCAGTATTCTTTTATTTCATCTGTATTCCCCAATTCCAACATTATATCCTCCTGTATTCTTTTATTCCATCTTTATTCAGCTATTCAAGCATCAGATCCTGCTGTTTTCCTCCATTCCATCTGTATTCCCCTATTCTAACATAATATCCTTATTACTCTATTCCATCTGTATTCCCCTATTCCAATACTAGAACCATCTGCAATCCACAATTGTAACCAACGCCATATATTAATACGTTGCAATTCGCTGTGCAGAGTTACCTCCCTTGTGCGTACCAGGAACCTATGATTGTTAGTTTGAATCCGATAACATTTCTATGTTTTTAGCATCATACCCGTGTGCTTCACGGAGAGTTACCTCCCTCGTGCGTACCAGGAACCTATGATTGTTAGTTTGAATCCGATAATATTTCTATGTTTTTAGCATCATACCCGTGTGCTTCACGGAGAGTTACCTCCCTTGTGCGTACCAGGAACCTATGATTGTTAGTTTGAATCCGATAATGTTTCTATGTTTTTAACATCATACCCGTGTGCTTCACGGAGATGGTAAGACTTGCATCCCTTGGGGCGTTCCTCTCACATCAGGCAATACTGTCCAAACCAGCGACAAATGAAACTCACTCACTCATCCATTCACTCACTCACTCACTATATACATCTGCTTTCCAGGCGAGCATCGGTGGCAGCACCTTCCTTCAGCCCAGAGTGGACGTGAGTTGAACTTATAATCTCCCTTTCAAGTTAGACAACTGGTTATCACTTAGACGAATCACCTTCTTATATATACTCATGGAAACAAATAAGGGAACACATGAAAGTACAAGAGTTCCTTTATTCTTTTCGTGGTTTCTTCACATGATATGTATTGCACTGTGGGTGAAACTTTGGAAATATATAAAGGAACACTTGAACTTTCATGTGTTCCCTTATTTGTTTCCATGAGTATGTCATGTGGTCCACGTTTGTAACTTTGGAGCTTGTGAACGAGGCCAGTTATAATCTGCTCGTGGTGAAATTCTAGAAATAGTTAGATGTGCTTCTCCATTGTGTTTGTCAGTTGTGGAGATAGTTCTTGCGTTTCAGACACTCATAATTTCAGCCGATTTGTAACATTGTCCATATTGACTAATTGTCTTGACTTAATGAGGCTTGTTGTTTCTTTACATGTAATCCTTAACCCGACATCCTTACCCTACATCCTTACCCATACACCCTTTCCCCAACCTTGCCCTACTACCAGGAAGGGGAAGCACTCCTACCTGCCACACCTTCATGTTCCAGAGGATATACGTATTACAGGAATGTATGTTCAGGAAGGTATACAAGGTGACGTTCTTTTTGTGCATGTATTCAAGCTAATCTTTATCTTACACAATATCATTGACAATATTCATCTTATACGTATATTCGTTTCGTAGATCCAAGGTGGTATACGTCTTACTCATGTGTTCCATGCGATCTTCTTTTAACACGTATGTACAGGAACGTGTTCGTCTTGTACGTTTCGTGTTGACGGTGTTCGTCTTACAAGTATATTCTGGACGATATTCGTTTTACACGTATACATGTATTAGGGAAAATATTCGTGTTACATGTATATTTAGAGAGAAATTAGTCTTGCACGTATATTCAGACTATATTCGTCTAACACGTATATTCAGACTATATTCGTCTAACACGTATATTCAGACTATATTCGTCTAACACGTATATTCAGACTATATTCCTCTAACACGTATATTCAGACTATATTCGTCTAACACGTATATTCAGACTATATTCGTCTAACACGTATATTCAGACTCTATTCGTCTAACACGTATATTTAGACTATATTCGTCTAACACGTATATTCAGACTATATTCGTCTAACACGTATATTAAGACTATATTCGTCTAACACGTATATTCAGACTATATTCGTCTAACACGTATATTCAGACTATATTCGTCTAACACGTATATTCAGACTATATTCCTCTAACACGTATATTCAGACTATATTCCTCTAACACGTATATTAAGACTATATTCGTCTAACACGTATATTCAGACTCTATTCGTCTAACACGTATATTTAGACTATATTCGTCTAACACGTATATTCAGACTATATTCGTCTAACACGTATATTCAGACTATATTCGTCTAACACGTATATTCAGACTATATTCGTCTAACACGTATATTTAGACTATATTCGTCTAACACGTATATTTAGACTATTTTCGTCTAACACGTATTTTCAGACTATATTCGTCTAACACGTATGTAAGAGGGACTTTTCTATTAAACGTATATTCGGGAACATATTCGTCGTACAATTATTTTAGGAGGATATTTTTAACATGTGTGCCGTGGACGATATTCATGTTACACTTACGCAACTGGCGAAGTTCGTCCTACGTGTATATTCAGCTTGATGTTCGTCTTAAACATATGTTGTTGACGATGTTCGTCTTACACGTACATTTAGGAAGACCTTGGTATATTCAAGATGATTTTCCTCTTACACAATATCGTTCACGATGCTCGTCTCACAAGCTTAGTCATGGATTTTCTTGACAATATGCGTGTTATGTGTATATTAATAATAATATTCGTCTTACGTGTATTTTAAAATGGCATTCACGCACATTAAGGATGATATTTGTTCTACGCGTATGCAAAGGACGACGTTTTGTGTGTCTTACGTAGACAGTCAAACATGGTTGTGCCGAGGGTCATGGGCCACACGTAAATATTTCGAGTTATATAAGGTTCGACACAACCACAAAATGATGACTGAATACGGAATACGCAGGGGCCCAACGTGTACAAAAGTAAGAACAAATCATGGTTCGACACAAGGGTGTTTGGTTGTATATTAACAATTCTGGGTCTAGATTTTCGAAGCTCTCTTAGCGCTAAGATAGTCGTAAGTGCCATACATTAACATTAACTTACGACTATCTTAGCTCTAAGAGAACTTCGAAAATCTAGGCCCTGTCGTTTTCCACATATTTTCAGGATGATATTCGTCTTAAATGTACGTTCGACTTACGCGTGTAGTTAATATTATGTCTATGTTACACACTGTCCTTCACGGGATTTGTCCTCCACGTATATTCGTCTTACGGCAATATTCGGAATGATCTTCTTCTTACATGTATTCAAGATGACATTCATCCTAGACCCATTTCCAGTATTGTGAGATTTGTCATAGAAGTATATTCATAATGGTATTCGTCTTAGACATATTTCCAATGTTGCGATATTCTTCTTACAACTGTATACAATAATGTATTTATCTTAGACATCTTTTCAGTTTTGTGATATTCGTCTTAGAAGTATATTCAAATTTATATTCGCCTTAGACATATTTTCAGCAAATTATTCGAGTAACACATACATTTAAGATAATATTTTTCATGCACGTATGCTGAGGACGATAGTTGTGTCTTACACGAATACTGAAGATGATATACGCCATACACGAAAAATCCACGTATTTAAACCATTTTGACAAATATATAACCATTTTTGTTGTTGATATGATCTGTACTATGAACAACACATAAAAGCATCGCTTACTAATTTGGATCCCGTAATGGCTGCTTTTAAGGAATATGTTTATTGCTGTCACTATTCAGTATTTCATTTTATTCAGATTATAGATTTGTAAAGAGGTTCGTTTTATCAATGACAGCTGGTAATGTCGAATATATCCCTTCTCTCTTTCATGGTATTTGCCGTAATCAGAAATTCAGCCATGTTAATGTGTTCGATACAATCAAGTAGTATAGGGGAGTTATTTTGGTGTATTGTTCGTGTATTTTCACAAATGTATATTTTGGTTTGTTTGGATTTTTTCAGTTGAGATATATTATAGGGTAATATTCTATATACTGGATATATGGATACTGTGACCTTTTAGTGCGAGGAGTTATACAATAGTTTAGTAGTTAAGTTTTCTACGGTGCATGGCTGGTTAACACCGCTCTGATGTTACTGGAATATCGGTAAAAGCGTCGTAAAAATGTACTCACTCAATCACTGTCATTATAATCCAATAAAAAATTGGTCAGTTTTTAATCAGTAGTGGTATGATGTAAGTTCGTTTTAAAGGGACGGTGTCGTAGCCTAGAGGTTAAAGTATTCGCTCGAGAAGCTGAAGACCCGGGTTCGATTCCCCACGTGGATAAAATGAGTGAAGTCCGGTGTCCCCCGCCGTGATATTGATTGAATATTGCTTAAAGCGGCTAAAAGTCATATTGACTCACTTGTTCGTAGGTAATGTAATGAATCAGGAATGTGGCGTAATGTAATGTAATGTAATGAAAAGTAATGGAATGGAATCATTATAAAAACTCTAAGGGAATGAGATGTCAGTGGAATGGAATGTAACAGAAAAGGAATATTATGTAATGTTATGTAATGTAATGTAATATAGTATACAGGCGAACCCTCATACAAACTCTTTACAACATATTTATTCCTCAGATTGCGTCATACACATGTCATAAACACACTAATAAACATGACACAGGCAATTATTAATTTCACAAGGCGAAATCAAACCTATATTGAAAAGTTAAAAGACAAACCCATTATCCCAAGGCATGGAAACGTCGAGGGAAGAAACTCCCAAACCTCTTCTCTTTGAAAGACAACGTAAGAATATAATGTTGAAAAGAAGACAATGTTATACTGGTAAACACAGCTCGCGGTGTACAAACCGTCTCTTTAAGGTCCACGTTAATAAGTTGTCAGATCCTTCACTCGGTGTATGATCTCTAAACTGCTCCTCGAGGATCAACCGGCTTCACATCCAGTACTTACAACCCGGCGACACAGATCGCCTTACCGCTTCTTCATGCGAATCCTCTTGGGCCATCAGTTGATGATGGTAGCGAAGCTAAGTTTAGACCTTCTGAAGTTCTGCATTAGCTAACACCTTTATGATTGCTTCCACAAACCATCAATCAGATCACATTACGTCAGCATTGCTGTTAACCCGAATATCGAAACAGACAATGTTCGATTTATTTGTATGTAATTTTATATACGTTTGTTAACGGGAACTAACCGAAGAGCAAATATAAACTCGAATTTGATTCTTTGGTTGTCAAATAGGCGCTGTTGTTTTGGGGTTTTCTTGTCAATGAGATTTGGTAGAGACGTTGGCGATGTCGGAGAGATGGACGGAGAGTGGGAAGGCGTAATACTGACTGACGTTACCAGTAGACGAAGTCGCAGAGGATAGAAGTCAAAGGTAGACGGCGGTGGGTGTTGATGCGGCTGATGGCGTGGGATGAATGATTAGTCAGCGTCATGTTACAACCACGACGAACAGGAATAAATAGTTCACGCAATAATGCCGTATATTACATGACGCCAAATTAATCCCGTTATAGGCGTGAGAGCCGTTTTTGGATCCCGTTATGACGCCGAAAATAGTAAAGTTCGAGAGAGTGATAATGTCAAAGTATTTTCTGTCATATATAGGAATTGTGATAAGGTCCGGTCTGGCCCAGTCGCTGTCATACAGAGTTGCGTCCCTTTGGCGTGTCAGGTGCCTATGATTGTGGGTTGTAAATGGCTATTACCTGCCTTGTTTCGGGACGACCCTCATATAACCCTTACCTCGTGCTATAACTGGAATAGCGTAAAACAAAACTCACTCTTGTTACTCGCTCTTAAGGCTGTCATGTCTGAACTATTCTTCATTT